ATGCTGGGTTTTACAAAAGTGTGGCTGTATTTTTACGTATTTACATTGTTGTACAGCATCCTGAAGGTAACCAGCAGAACCTGAATGCTGGACAATAGGGCGTGTTATCCAGAGTGAGAGCAGCTCTACCAGTCATTTCTGGCAAGGCTGCCTTGGAGCCTTGATCTCACTTCCCACCCAAACCCAGTAGCTTTTCCACGCTGAATTTCTGCTGTAGCAGAATGGTTCTCCTCTTGAAGACATCCCATTTTGATGGCTATGGTAGTAGTAGACCCAATGCGTATAATCATTGTGCCATTTAAAGCAGATGTTAGAGACTCAGAAATGTCATGACAAGGATTATCACGATTTTTGATTCAAATGGTACTGATGGTCTCCACAGCATTAGCATACTTTCAGAACCTCGCTCATGGTATGATGTTTGTGGTTAATGTCGCCTGTTTCTAGGACTCTGATGTTAAAACAATCAATGGACTGTTGAGCAGAATTCTCTACTGCCTAAATTAGCCCTACTTTGTTAATAGCCTTCAGCTCTCTACTAAAAGGAGCTGTTGAGACTACAAGAAAACTAATTTTAGCAAAGCATAGCTTGGGTAAGTACTCTGGGGGACAAAGATCACCCAAGAAACAGATTCTCCTTTTACCCTGTAAAGGAGAAGTTTACAATGATGAGAAAAAAAAATTTATAATTTGCTTTCCTATAAAGCATCACTTCCAATCCAGCCAGCTCAGCAACTAAAACTCTCAGCACTATTTATATCGAGATTTGTCAACTACTATTAAACATTAAGGTAAACAGGTATTAAGAGTGTGTTACCAAGAGATTGTCTACCTAAAGCAGAGCCATCTAATGATGGCTTCATTCCTTCTTCCCAGAGCAAAATTACTTTAAATATTCTGAAGCATATTAATTCTGCTCTGTATACCTTCCTTCCACTGCCGAGTTTCAGCATCCATGCAGGGACAGGAATGACTCTCACACGTTGATGCAATGCACAGTCGATCCCCCTTTATTGCTCTGCTTGCGTGGTTATATACATCTTTCATATCTGTACACGCGATCACGCTTATTCAGATAGGCTACTGACATAAATCACGCGCTGTTCACGTACCCCATATTCCCTTATGATTGGTAACTATGCACTAACGCCAATAGCAACAGACCGCCTGCACGTCCTTGAACACATCTTGTTTTTGCTAACCCACATCATGTTTATGCTTAGCTGTCCTTTCCAGCGGCCTGTCCAGCTATGCTAACTGTTTCGCTTAAGCGGCCTAGTCATGCTAACTCTCAAGCTACATCGACCCCAACACTTCCACAAGCCATCGCTCCAGTTATCTGAGAGGACCTACGCAGTCCTGAATGGGAAGATTCAACCACACAGTTGTGAATGGAAGTGACAGGAGTACAAGATGCTTTCCAGACTGGAACATGGCACAGGCTGTGAAAAACACTGAAAAACCCTGACTTTGTAAATCAATATCAATCAATTCCCTGCAAAAGCATCATAAATCTGGAAGTTCTAGAGAGCTAACCCTGAGGTAATAACACCACCTTACATTTTAAAACATTTCACAAACATTAGGACAGTCTCAGGAGGCCTTTGATCCAATTTCATCCTTTGGGTTTCTTCCAACAATTATGGATTATTGGAATATAATTGGTTTTCCAGACACATCTCCTCTTCAAAACAGATTTTAAAACAAGGTTACTGTGAGTGTGTGACATGCTTTGAGGTAATAATCCTCTGCTGGGAGATGAAATTTAACCTGAAGGAACAGGTTTCAATTTAGAAGGAGAATTATTCAGGCTTTGGACAATGGGATTTCTCCTGATTAGTCAAGATTTCTCCTTCAGCAAATATAGCCTAGACATTCATCTTTTATAAGTTATCAATAATAATTGTTGAAAGCTGACAGATCCTTTGGTGCAAAGCACTCTGGACATACTCATTTACTCAGCATTGTACAGGATTTTACTTGTTCAACTGAACCAATCTGCAATTGCCAAAATTTGGCAGTACCTGGAGAAAAACCAACCCATATCTACCGGGCAGACATGTCAGTTCACAGGTACTGTGCCCAGTTTCCTTATAACCTGCCTTCTGGATGGCAAATGAAGAGATGTAAGGCTTGACAGACCTCTTTAAGAAGTCACTGGGAAAATGCCATTTGTATGCAATGTCTGCTCTGCTTGTACTCCTGTGTTGTAAAAATCAGAGTCCAGTATGTGTAGATGCCAATCCATTTCAGGGTTGCAAAGTGAAACTGCGTGTCACTGTGGGACTGATCCACTACATGGTGTACCCAGGAAACGAGCTGCTTGGCAGTGAAGGTGAAACAGACTGTTGCTTTTCTGAAAATAAGAACAAAATGACTGGGAGACTCTGTATGGCTTCAGGGGAAGTCTTCAGCAGGCTTGGGAAATCTGGGATGATCTTTCCCTTTCCTTTCCAGGAAAGGAGAAGACCATGCTATTGAACCACAGCTAGTGGCCACTTGCTGTTCTTACTGGCCTGGCATGAACCTGGCTCAGCAGCAGGGAGCTGTGGGAGAGAAGCGGAGCAGCTCTTCAGGCCCCATGTACTGCTCAAACAGCTGCACTGCGTCTTGTTCGTCAGAGGCAAAATGGGGAGGAAACCTCCTCTGGCAGCCTTGGCTACTGCCCACATGTGTAACTGGTCCTGTCTGGGAGAGACAGTTGGAAAACTGGGAATTTATTCTATGAGATTTTGGGACTTTTAAGATAAAATTCCAAGTAGAATACACTTTCAGAAATGTGGTGAGCAATTAGAAATTACGCTGCTCTTCAGTGCATTGATGCACTTCCTTGGAGACCTAGCAGCAGGTCAACCAGATAGGCAATGGCATGAGATGAAGTCTTTTTTTATGAAGATCTACTTGAATTAAACTGAACATGGTGCTGAGAGATCAGTACCTGCTCTTCTAGCTCCTCCTGAAAGCAACAGCTGAATTGCATGTCAAATATAGTACCAGCTGTTATGCCTTAAAAGCAACAATAAACAAGTGTTTAACTGTGGTTTTGATGTTGTTCAGATCCAACAGCTTGTGAATGCACTTTTTGCAAAACATTCCAGGGCGGGAATCATGACAGAACAGGAAACTTTCTTCGTGAAAGAAGAGGGTTTCCGTTTAACACTTCTTTGAATCCATGTGACTTTGTGCTGTGCAGATAGAGGAGTGTAACGTCCACTTTCCTCTCCATTCAGGAGAGCTGTGGGAAGATCCGTTTCATGCCTGGAGGTTCAGGCCACTAGGTTCCCAAGAAGAAAGTATGGCTTTAAGTGCTGGGCTTCCTTCCACGAACAAGCGCATTTCTGTGTTGCAAATGGCCTGCTTGCTGCTGCGCTGCTTCAGGCAAGCACGCTACTTCATACAGAACGTACTTTGTATGCTAGTGTACAGCAACAGGTTACATTTAAGTCATTCCACCAGTACTGCATCCACATTTGCTTTACGGTTTTATTCATGGTGCTGGAAATACTTGTTACCACAATAGCATGTAGATAGAAAAATTTTTTAAAGTGAAAATTTCTGCCTAACTATTCAGAGTTTTTGACATTGATACTTCTTTCTTACTCAGCATTTGTCTATGGACAAACCACTCTACAGCCGCTGCAGGTCTGCCCATTCACCTCAGTTCCCAAACAACGGGTGTAAGATGTGAAAAAAAGAAAACAAAGAAGCAGGCAACTTATAACCTCTTTTGCTAGTCTTTATAGACACAGTTTTTACTGCTTTATTACCAAGACCCTGGAAGCACCCCAGAACCAAACCAAGCTTGCTGCTGGGATCAAGGCAGGGAGCTGGGGAGTTCAAACCCTACTGTTGTCTCTCACCTTGGAACCTTGAGTACATCTCCCCTGCACCTAAGGATCCGCAGGCACTCCAGGGGCAGTTATAAAAGCATCACCGTCCACATTAGTAGGCAGCTGTTGAAAGTGCCTGTTGACCGTGTTTGTTGGTGGGTGTCCGAGCCGCTGGCACGCAGTGTGTCTCAGCTGCGCAGCACCTGGGGTTTCACCAGCGGCAGCAACGTCAGTCGGCCGCGGCAGCGCGCAGGGGGCCAGCAGCCAACTCCGGAGACACCACGCCATGTTCCCATCTCTCAATACAACGTACGCATCCTCTTGTTTGTCGCTTCAGAGACAGCTTGCAGCATGGCAGCCATCTTAGAATTTGTTGTCATGGCACAGATTGTATCCGTTAAAAACTTTGCAACAACTTAAGCACTACTCCCAGTGTTTTACTCAAAACATGGATTCTTCCACGTTTTAGCTAGTTGGCGCTAATACTACTAACGGTGGTAAATGACCATTAAACTAATGACTCCCCCAACCAATCAAGTGAAAAACATAAAAAAAGGTGTCAGTGATTAAAGCTGTA